TCAACATATAGATGAAAGACGGGCCCGAGCCCCTCAAAACAAACCCGACTTGCGCATAATGCGCATAAAGTCAACAAACCCGACGCTGCCGTTGCCGTCAATGTCGGCAATGTTGATCATCTCAAGCAGCTCCTCGTCGGGGATGTGCTCGCCCAGGTGGGCGGATATCTTGCGCAGGTCGTCGACGGTGATCCTGGCTCTCTCGGGGTCGGCTGCGTCCGGCTTGAAGAGCCTGAAGGCGTGGAGGATCTCCTGCCGCTGGCTCATCTCGTCGACGCGCAGCGAGACAAACTCCTCCAGGCGGCTGTACCCGATGCGCCCTGAGCGTTCCGGGTCTAACTGCTGCCGCCACTGCGCCCATGTCTCGGGCGGCTGATCCCCGACACCAAAGACGCGGAGTATCTCGGGGATCCTCGACACGGGGATGTGCCCGAGCGCCTGGTGGTCGATGCGGTCAAAGATGTCGCGCAGCTCCTCGCGCTTCGCAAAGTCCAGGTTGCCAATGCCCTCGCTTGCGCCCACGCCCATGCCAGCAGGGGCGGCTATGCTGCTTGGCGTGGGCGCGGCGTTGGGTGCAATTCGCGGCGCCGGCGTCGCGATCTTGCGAACGGTTGTTGACTGGGTGGGCCGCGGCGGCCAGTTGGCGGGCGTTGCGGCGAGGCGGTTGGCCGTTGCGGCATTCGGCGGCAGCAGCGGGGGCCGCGTGTGCCGCGTCGAGTGCGGCTCTCCGCTCATTTCCGGCGCGACAGAGTAAATGATTTGCGACACGAGAGAGAGCACGGCAGGAGGCGCAAGAGCTCCATTCCGCGAGGCGGGGAGCGGGACCGCGCGCGCTACTGCGGCTTGTGGGGGCCGTCACGCGGAGGGCGGGCCGGGCGCGGCCAATCGCAGCAGCGAACCGCATCTCGCCAGCAGTAGGGGCAGTTTTTGGGAGCCGCCCCCAGGTCGGGCCGGCGGGGAGCTCTGCGTGCGCGACGCGTCCTGCCTTCGCCGAGCACCGCCACTTTTCTAAGCCTTGCGTTAAGCCGCCTGTCGTTTGCGCCGGACCAGACCGCGCGCCGCCCCCCGACCGCACCCACCCGCAGACCAGCGGCCGCAAACTCCGCACGCATCCCCCCACACGAGCATCCATAGCCCCACGCGTACTCGCAGCCGCGCCCAGCAGAGCTACAATGGTAGGTTTGCCCGTCCCAGCGCCCCCGAGGCGATCGGGAGCGCCGCCCCGCGGTCCCTACATGAGGCCCCCACCGGGCCGGTCCTGCTGCGCAGCAGCAGCTAACATTTGGGGAAGTGCGCGTGCTTTCTGGGCAGCCCCGCTGTAGCCAGCAAAGAGCGTTTCGGGCGCCGCGGCGTCGGGAGGCAAGTACAAGGCCGGGGCATCGCAGAAGCGCATGCAGTCGCGGTCATCCAAGGCCGGGCTCCAGTTCCCAGTCGGGCGCGTGCACCGGTACCTGAAGCGGGAGACGCTGACCGCAACGCGCGTCGGGGCCAAGGCGGCGGTGTACACGGCGGCGGTGCTCGAGTATCTGGTGGCGGAGGTCCTCGAGCTGGCGGGCAACGCGGCGCGCGACCTCAAATCGAAGAGGATCTCGCCCAGACACCTGCAGCTGGCCATCCGCGGCGACGACGAGCTGGACGTGCTCGTCAAGGCCACCATTTCCGGCGGCGGTGTCATCCCGCACATCCACAAGCAGCTCCTCGAGAAGAGCAAGAAGCTGGCCGCCTGAGCCCGACGCCAGCATTGCCTCTTTGTTTGTCCATCAAATCGCCTGTCTAGTTCCTTGGCCGCTCTGGCTCGCGTGGGGGGGGGGGGCGGAGGCTGTGCGGGGCGAGACGGGGCCCGGCAGTAGCCCGCGAAACTGGGCGGTCTCGGTCTCAGGTCGCTGGACGGAGCCGGTTCCTGCGGCTCCCGCCTGCCCGGCGCCTACTGCGCCGCCAGAGTCTCAGCGCCTCGCCGCTCTTTTGCAGCCGGGCTGCTCTTTGCAGCTTCCTCTGCCCGGACGCCCCTCAAATAGGCGCGTGCCGCCCGGCTGCTTCGGGTCGCCCGGGGCACTTCTTGTCTTCTTCCAGCCGCTCTGCAATCTGCGCGTCCCCTGGGTGGTGGTCGCATTAGGCATATACTCAATTGCACAGCCATGAAGCCGAGCGTGGCAGCCGCTCAGCGCGTGCTGGCGGCGCTGCTGCCTCTCCTGCTCGTGGTTTGCGTCTGCGGGCCGGCGCACGCGCTGTCGGCGGCGGTTGGCGCGGTCGGGGCGCCAGAGGCCCTGTTTGGGCGGTGCCCGGTGTTTGACAGCGTCGTCGGGGACCGGATGCTCTCGGGCCAGATCACGCCGGAGCAGGCCTTTGCCGAGCTCGACTCGTACAACTGCCCGATCATCCGCGGCGCGCACATCACCAGCGCCCAGCAGCTGGTGCAGGCGGTTGACCGGTGCGTGCAGCGGGGCGACGCGGGCGACCTGGCTCCGCAGCCGCCGCAGCCGCCGCAGCCGCCGCGCCCGGTGGGCCGGAGCGCGGGTGAGCCGCCGGGCCAGTCGATGGCTGACGAGTGCCGGCGACTGTCGGACATGCTGTACGCGGTCGACGGCAGGCCGGACGCGGCGCGGCGGGCCATGGAGGCGCTGAGCACGACCAAGGTGCCCATCATCAACAACTGCCCGCTGTTCCGGAGCGTCAAGGCGCGGTACACCAGCGGCCAGCTCACGGCGCGCGAGGCCGTGGACGAGATGAAGGCCAACTGCCCGATCCTGTCCAAGGAGCTGAACCCGGCAATGATCTTCAACTTTGAGGAGTACGGCATGCGCCGCGACCCGCACTACGACCAGGGCCACCCGAGCCACAGCCACCCGCAGCTCGCCAAGCGCGACGCGGGCTGCGGCTGCGGCTGCGGCGCCAGCAGCCCTGACGGCGGGCAGGTCCACGGCAAGCGGCTGTTCACGCGCGACGATGAGCACGACGAGCCCGGGATGTGTCCGGCGGGCGGCAAGTGCGAGTGCGACCACGCGCGCAGCTCCGCCGGGCACGCGGGCGGGAAGGCGACGGGCCTGGAGCGGCTGCTCGGCGGACTGTTCCCCAGGGGGAACCCCGCGACGGCGTCGCTCCTGGCGACGTTCTACATCTCGCTGTTCCCGAACCTGGTTCTGTTTGCCACCCCGACCGCCATCCCCGCGCGCGCCCTGCGTGTGATGGTCGGCTTTGCCGTGGGCGGCCTCCTGGGCGACGTGTTCCTGCACCTCCTGCCGCACATGTTTGCGCCTGAGCACGACCACGGCCACGGCCACGGCCACAGCCACGACCACGTCCGCAACACCGTCTACGGGTGCGCCATCTTCCTGGGCCTGATGGTCTTTTTCGCAGTGGACAAGTTCATGCGCCTGTTTGGCAGCGGCCACAGCCACACGCACAGCCATGGCCACGACCACCGGGCCGCCAAGCTGTCCGACTCGGGCTCGGCGAGCGAGGACGAGACCAGGCACCGGCTCCGCAAGCGCCGCGCGGCAAAGACCCGGCGGCAGGCGCGCGACGCCAGCGAGGCCGACGACGAAAAGGACACGAGCGGCAGTGCGACGGCCGCGCGGGGAGGCGCCCGGCAGATCAAGCTCTCGGCGTACCTGAACCTGATCGCCGACGCCACGCACAACTTTACCGACGGGCTGGCAATGTCGGCGTCGTTCTACCTGAGCCACGCCGCGGGGCTGTCGACGTTTGTGGCGGTGTTCTTCCACGAGATCCCGCACGAGCTGGGCGACTTTGCCATCCTGGTGCAGTCGGGCTTCTCGCGCACGTCCGCGCTGGCCTCGCAGTTCTTCACCGCCCTGGGCGCCATTGCCGGCACCATTGCGGGCATCCTCATCGAGGAGGCCAGCAAGGGCAACAGCTTCAACGTGGCCGGGCTGTACACCCCGGGCGTCCCCGCCTTTGCGCCTGCCGACCCCGCCGCGGGCCGCTCGCTCCTGGCGTCGCTCTTTGGCGGCGTGCTCGGCCTGCTGCCGGCGACTGTGGCCGGCGTCGCGTGGAGCAAGCTGGTCATCCCGTTCACCGCCGGCGGGTTCATCTACGTCGGCACCGTCTCGGTGCTTCCCGACCTGCTCCAGCCCGAAGATGCTGGAGACGCCGACGAGGTGCTCCCGGCAAAGGACCTCGCCGCGACCAGGCGCGCGCGCCAGGCACGAGTCCGCCGCGGCGTCACCATGGCCGTCACCGAGCTGGGCGCCATGCTCGTCGGCTTGGGGATCATGGCCGCAATTGCCGTGAGCGAGGGCGGCGACCACTAGGCCACCCCTCCCACCGTGTACACACATGCTCCGCGGCAGCGTATCGGCTTATATTGCAATGGAGTTGTTTGGTGCGAGAAAGTGTGTGTGGCAGGCGGCAGCAGCAGCAGCAGCCTCTAGGGCGTGGCGGCCCGCGTCTTGTCCTTGACGATGCCCATGGTGACGCCGTATGCCTGCTTGATGACGACGGCGAACTGGCCGGCCTCGATCTGCACGAGCGCCGCCGAGTCGTCGCTCTGGCTGGCGCCGGGCGGCAGCACCGCTTCGGCGCGGGTGACTATCGACGCAAACAGCCCCGCCGCCTCCTCGGGGATCCCGTTGTCGCACGCCAGACACAGCCCGCTGTCGTCCACCACCATCACCGCAACCGCCGTCGGGTCGCGCTTGTACACGTTCTGGATCGCCCTGTTTAGCTCGTCCTCCATCGCGTCCGAGTGGTCAGCAGAAAAAGCATGCAGTCCACGCCGCTACAGACGACAAAAGCGACAGATGCCGGTTTGTTTACCCGCGGTGGGCACGGCTTATTAGGGGCGGGGGTCCAGGAAAGGCCTAGGTGCTGTTGCATGCCAAAAAGATCGCGCAAAAGAGACCTCAGCCAGTACCAGATGTTATCATGCTCCACGAGAACGCGGACCCGCGGCTCCGCCCGAAGGCTGAGCCAAACGGACCCGCTGGCTCCCCGCAGATCGATTAGCACGGGTGCACTAGTTCATCACCGGAGCTCAAGTACGGTCCCGCCCGGGCTCGAACCGGAGACCGTCTGCGCGCGAGGCAGACGCGGTAACCGGCAAAACCAACGGAACCACTTTCGGCGCTCCTGCGCCACATTATAGTACCGCGCTACAGACGGTGTGCGTGCCCGCGCTTCGGGCACTCCCACGTGCTGGCCTGGTGCGGGGTGGAGGCATCGGCGTGGCCGCGGCTGCCCAGGCGGCTTTCTCAGCCCCGCTCGAGTCTCGCCACCGGTTATTCTGCCCCCCGCCCCCGCACAGCACGTTCGAGCGACAGTCTGCGAAATGGCGCCCGGCGGCTACGACGCGGTGCTGCTCGACATCGAGGGCACGACCACGCCCATCTCGTACGTGCACGACGAGCTGTTCCCGTACGTGGCGCGCAACGTGGCGCAGTTCCTCGAGGCACGGTGGGACGAGCCCGAGGTGCAAAAGCACGTGCGCGCGATAGCAGAGCAGGCGAACAGGGACGTGGAGGCGGGGATCGCCGCCGCCATCGGCGTTGCCCTGGACGGCCCGCAGGCCGACAGCGCCGACGAGGTGCGGCGCAAGGTGCTGGCAAACATCGAGTGGCAGATGAAGGCGGACCGCAAGATCGGGGCGCTCAAGGGGCTGCAGGGCTACATGTGGAAGTTTGGCTACGAGGGCGGCGAGCTGCGCGGGGCCATGTACCCGGACGCAGTGGCCGCGATGAAGCGCTGGACGGCGGCCGGCCGCAAGGTGTACATCTACTCGTCGGGGAGCGTCGAGGCCCAAAAGCTGATCTTTGGCTACACTGACCACGGCTGCCTGCTCGAGTACATCTCGGGCTACTACGACACCGCGGTGGGCCCCAAGATCGAGAGCGCCAGCTACGTCGCCATCGCTGCCGCCATCGGCGCTGCCCCCGAGCGCATCCTCTTTGTCAGCGACAACATCCACGAGATCCGCGCCGCCGACAAGGCCGGGATGCAGACCGTCGTCTCGATCCGCCCCGGCAACATGCCCATCGGCGAGTGCGACTTTGTCTGCTCGTCGGACTTTTTGGACATTGCGATGTAGCCACCCCGGGGGGAGCCGCCGGTAGAGGAAGGGACTGTGGCGCTCGCCAGAGGGCATTTTCTTTACAGCTGGCGGCAAGCAGAATGCTGGTGAAAACTTGTGCTACTGCGCAACTCCTCCCCAGACGTTGAGTGCGTTTGCGCTGTCGCCGCCGCCCGGGGCAGGGACGCAGCCAGCCGCAAGGTACGGACGCCCGTCTCTTTGCACTCGCAGCCATTCTTGCGCCCCCTGTTCCCAACGACAAATCTTCTGTATCTGGCACGCCCAAACCGCGCATCCCGTCAATGGTCCGAGCGTCGAGGATAGTCGGCGCAGTGGTGGCGGCATCCACCGTGCACATGGCGGCATGCCAGGCAGGGCTGTTTGACCGCCAGGGCGGGCTGCTCGGTGGGCTGCTCAACGGCATTGGCGAGCTGACGGGGGCGAACAGCGGGCGCCGACGGCCGACAGACGATGTGCCGGCTGCCGCAGACGGCCCACCGGCCGCTGCAGACGGTGGCGGCGCGTTGGTAGCCGAGGCCGCCCGCCCGCAGGCCACAACGCCGAGTACAAGCGCCAGCGCAACTAGCGAGCGGGCATCGACGAGCCGCAGTCCGAGTGCGTCAAGCACGATGCAGCCACCGCACATCACGACCACTAGAGACGAGCACCAGCAACAGCAGCAGCAGCAGCCGTCGCCGGCGAGTGCGGCGGGAGCTAGTACCAGTAACCAGCCCAACACACCCAGCAGCAGCGACAAGCCCACCGCTGCCAACAGCAGCAATGGGCCAAGCGCGGGTAGCACCAGCAGCGGGAGCACCAGCAGCGGGAGCGGCACCAGCAGTGGGAGTAGCAGCAACAGCAACAGCAGCGCGGGTGGCAGCAGCGACAGTCAGAGGCAGGGAGCGCCCGCCAGCACGGCGATGCAGATCTCGGTATCTGGACCAAGCGATACACTGCCGGTTCTCAGGGAGCCGCAGGCGTTTGTGCCGTCAAGCGGCGGGAGCGGCTCAGCGTATGTCAACGCCTCTCTCGCAGCGGTGCTTGCGATCATTCACACAACGACGACAGCGCTTATCTGATTCGCCCGCAGCGGTGTGGAGCTTCAGCGTGCATGCTCTACATGTCGGCAGCGATGCCGGCGTGCATAGGCCGGGTACCTCGTGGTCATAGTTTGGCCAAGATCTACATGTCTGCGCGATCTACATGTCTGTGCGCGAATGACGTGTTTATACCGCCGACCTTTTGGAGGATGCGGGCTGCATATGCCCCGGCGATGCGATGGCAATGTTTTTGAGGATCAAGTGTCTGACTAGGGCAGAGGGGGGGATGGTACAGGGGGCGGGTAGAGTGGGTGCGGTGGTGCCTATGGCGGGTGCGTTGGGGTCCAGCCAAAGGTGCCCGGGGCGACAGCCAGGGTCGGGCTCTGCGCGACGCCCATCAGCGCGCCCGGCGGCGCGTGCGCGGGCGCGTGCGGTGGATATGCGCGAGTACTCGTAATGCGCTGCTGCTGCTGCTGCTGCTGCTGCTGCACGATAAGTGCAGCCTGCGCCTGTGCCTGCGGCGGGAGCAGCAGCGGCGGCCCCACAGTGCCCATCGCTCCACCGACCGCAACTGCGGCGGGGGCAGCAGCGACGGCCGTGGTGGGGCCGACCGGGTGGTGGCGGTGCACCGGCGGCATGAGCGGCGGCGCGGCGAGCGGCACGGCGGCTGGCAGGATGTCTGAAACCACGCGCTCGGCCTGGAAGTACTGGTGGATCGCCGAGCAGCCGCAGTTGTGGTGCGCCAGCAGCTGGTTCTTGAGCGCCATGACCTCGTCCTTGAGCTGCGCGATCGTGATGTGCAGCGACCGGTTCTGCATCGTCATATCCTCGGCTCGCCGCTCCAGCTCCAGCACCCACATCTTCTTTTTCTGCCGGCACTTTGACGCCGCAATCCGGTTCCTCTCAAGGAACCGCTGCCGCCGCTGGCTGGCGGTCGCCTTGTTGCCGCTGGCGCCTGCGCCGTTGCCGTCGTCGTCATCATCGCCGTCGTCATCGCAGTCGCTGCCCGTGGCTCGGATTGGGGGGCTGCCGGCGCGCATGGCCCTGCTATCGCCGCCGCCTGCCGTGGGCGCGCTGCGCCGGGGGCCGTGGTTGCTCGCGGAGGACATTGACGAGGATGACGACGTCGACCTCTTTGGCTTGTGGACGCCGCCGCCCTTCACGGAACCGAACCTGCCATCGTCTGCTGCTGGCGGCGCCGTAAACGGGGTGTGTCCACGGTAGGGCAGCTCCGCGCGGCTGTCGGCCAGCATGGCAGCGTACGGCACGGCAGTGAGCGGTGGTGGGGGCTCGGCGATGGTCGTGGCTGCTACTGCGGCTGCGGCCGTGACGACGGCGCCGCCGAGCTCTGGCACCGACGTGTGGTAGAAAATAGCTTGCTGGCCCTTGTGAGCGGCCGGCACCACGGGCAGCAGCGCGGGCGCAGGCTGGAACCGCGGCGCCGCGGTGCAGGCCGGCGGCAGAGACATCGGCGACGTTGCGAGCAGCGCGCACAGGAGCCGGTGCGGAAACGGCGCTGCGGCACCTACCCCTGGGGCGGAGAAGGAAAAAATCGGCAAGACAGGGTATGAGAAACAGCGACGCCAGCAGGGAAGAAAGGGGGGAGCGGCTGCACCCGCTGCCGGCTGGTTTCAATGATGTAATGGAGGGAGGGGGAATCTTGCTGGGCCCAGTCGACGGCCAGCCCAGCCAAGCAGCCCTGAAGGCGCTGGCTCCCCTCCTCCCCCAACGTCCAGCCGCGCCCCCGCCGACGGGTGATCCGTGCAAGGGAGCACGCAAAGGGAGGCGTGGAGGCCAGCCGCTCGCGCCAGGAGGCGCTTGGGGATGAGCAACGCCCGGCAGTCCTGCAGGATGACGCGCGCCGGCGTCGAGCACGACCAGCAATCGCGCCCTGGCGCCTCTGATTTGCCAGGCGCGCGGACTCGCTCGCTGGTCTCTGCCCGCTGCGCAGGACGGCCCCCATTGTTGCGCTTTGGGGATTGCCACGGCGCGGCTGGTGCCAATGACGTCATCGAAGACTGCTCACCTTGGCTTGGGGGTATGCGCGGCACGCCGGCAGTCCAGGCGGCGGGCGGCGGCGGCGGCGCCCAAAGCTGGTCCATGTGCGTGCGTGGCCAGCGGAGCGGGTAAATTGGGCGGACGGGCGGTGCGGGGGG